GGGAGGGGGGATTTCTCACTTTCTGTCTCTCTGTCTTTCTGACAAGCGCACATGCCCTATAGTAAAAACCTCTCAAAACAAACAAACAAACAAACAAATGAAGAGAAAACTAACAAACCTCTTTCTGGGGGGACAAGGTCTTGCTGTCGCCAATCTCAGCCTCCCAGCTGGTACTTCAGGCATGTAGCACCACGCCTGGCTCTTTTTTCTTTTTTCTTCTTTATTTACATTTAATCACTGTACATCTTTACAACTTACAACATGGTTTTTCCCAACATGCATGAAGTGCATGTCAGTCAAGTCAAAGATATTACCATATACATCATCAACAGGTAATTTTCCATTTCTGCTCATTTTATTTTTCCTGGGCCCCCCACCCCCTAACCGATGCACTCTACAGTATCTATGCTTTCCCTCCTTGCTATTATTTCTTCCGTTCTTTTCGTTTTTGCCTGGCTCTTTGTTTGTTTGTTTGTTTTGTTTTCTTAAAGAGGTTTTTGTCTTAGGGTGCGTATACTTACCCATGGGAGAGCGACAGACAGACAGAGACAGTGAGAAGAAAAGTCAGAAATGGCACTGCAAAGGGGATGGCCACACTGCTATCCCTTCTCCTTTCTCCTCCTAGGATTTTTTTTTTTTTTGGAGAGGTTTTCGCTATAGGGCGCGTGCGCTCGCCAGAGAGACAGAGAGACAGAAAGCGAGAAATCAAACCCCAGGGGGGCTGGTCACGCCACAATCCCTTCTCCTCCATCCTCCTCTCGGGATCTTGGGCACACACGCACACGCGCCCGGCGTGAGTTTAAGCCACTGGGTCCGGGACTCGAATCGCAGTAGACTATGTGGGAGTCCAGCAACATAGCCATTACGCTAACTGCTGGTTCCCTCTCCTCCTAGGATCTTGAGCATGCATGTAACACGTGCTCAGGATGAGTGTCAAGCCAATGGGTCTGAGGTTTGAACAGCTGTTGGCCATGTGGGAGTCCAGTGATGTAACCGCTATGCCATCTGCTGGCCCCATGCTTGGCTCTCTTTTATACTGGGTCTTGCTATTTTCACATGACCAGCCTCAAGCTCATGATCCTCTTGCCTCAGCCTTCCTGAGTCACTGAAATTACAGATACATGCCATTGTTTCTGGCCTTTAGGTTGGACTAAGAATCATACCTAGGTCTCCCGTGTGGTCCCAGCCTGCCAAGCACGGTGTCTTACCAGCACACCAGCACAGCCGGGCCAAATTTTTAATTGCTTTTTTTTTTCTTATTGTGGTGGTCTAGCCTACAATCTTACTATAAAAATTGCTCCTCCTCCCCAAAAGAGAACACTGGATCTTCTAAGAAATATTACATAGTTGTTATAACCTAAGTTAACTATAAAGCAAACTTCTTGTCATAATTTTAGTTTTATTTTGTCAACTTAAAGCTGCATTATAACCTCTTATTTATTATGAAATTTTAGTTCCCATTTTAAATGGTGATCTGTTATCATGGGATAATGAAGAGCTCTTGAACTAAACAGTGATCTACCTTAAAATGTAGTTTCATAAACATTTTAAACTAATTTGTGGGTACATTATCATGGTCCTTTAAAGCTATCAGAAGGTGACATATACTCACAAAACATCCCTAGATATTATCAGTGAGAGAGTACTTGATTAGCTCAAACACAGGTCAGACCAAGTACAGATCCTATTTCAATTCAGTGATGTCTTTTCAGAATTGTTTTATTATCTTCACAAAGAATTTGGACTTTGTATTTAGAATAATCACTATCTTAAGAATATTTTCAGAGTACCTAATAGAAAGGATTGATGAGAGCTATGTGACAATATGGGCAATGTTATCATGACACTCCATAGCTTATTATAAAATTTAAGATAATAAACCCATTCAGAATTAAACAGTTTACACAGAGGCTGGACATTCTCACCTGTAAGAGACTATGAGAAGTCTCCTAAAATGTTCATGGAAAATGCATATTATGAAGACATAGACATGGATTTCAAAATTTTTTGCCAAAACAAACTGATACCTGAACTGCATTTCCCACCACCTTTTTGAAGCCCCCACATATTTATACACTTCGTGCTCCCAAAGGGTGGTTCACCACCCAGGTACCCCTTCCCTTTCTTTCCATTAAGTAAGACACTATTCTCATAGGAGGAAAAGGGTAAATACAGATAAGAGCGTATTCAATCTCCCAGAGGGAACTGGAAATATGAGTGAAGTAGGTCTATAACAGAACTGGAATTAAAAAGCATGTAAGTCATTGGAATTGTCTTCAGATTCTACCATAGCAATGCTGCAAACGTGCCCCTCCAGGAAGATGTGTAGGGGTGTGTGGGTGTACAGTGACGAGGCGGGCTGGGTGATACGGCTGTGTGCATGTAAGGAATGTGCTGGCAGAGATGCGGCAGAGTGGATTAATGTTTTGTCTGCTCAATGAAATAAGGGCAGATCAAATGTTTTCCTGTCTCGACTCTTCGTGCACTTCCGATTGCTACAATGAAGTAAGAGCAGATCAAATGTTTTCCTGTCTAGACTCTTCGCGCACTTCCGATTGCTACAATGAAGTAAGGGCAGATCAAATGTTTTCTCTGTCTGGACTATTTGTGCACTTCCGGTTGCAATCTCTGCCTCCTCAAAATGATCAAAGTCCACGTCTCCATTTGGGCAGTTTCTATTCGGTTTTCTTGTTATTTATTTATAGGTCTTATTTCTACCAATAGGTCATACACTTCTTGAAATTACACACATGAGTTATCTTCCGGGCTTTTACAGCACCTGACTCAGAGCTCAATGAATTTCAGCAGATACACTAGTGATGGTCACTTTGAAGATACAGTAACAGGTAAAAATATATCACTGAAGTGAAGGATTGGTATGCACAAGATAGACTGTATAGAAGATGGTACTTAATTTTTTGTTTTTGTTTTTTAAACCAAAGGCATAACGACACACATGGCCTAGTTTGTGCGCCTATATGACAACTGTTATTTTTGGTGGTAACTGATGCTTGCTGGTGTGTCCTACAAGATGAATGCACAGTCAGAAGTCTTAAAACGCTCGCAAAGGTTATGCTTTGATCTACCATTGCAACCACTCATTTTGGAGCTCGCCATTGGTCTTTTGGTCACCTGTCTTTTTAGTCCCAGAGTCACTGCTCAAAGAGCTCATTTCCAATGGTTTCACAGTGGGTTGCCCCGGGGAGCTACTGCTTCCTGTTAGACCACAGGTACACCATTTGAAGCAAGTTTTGTCTTCCCCCAAGAAGAAGCTAAAAGAATGTTCTTTTGCCTTCCCCTTCAGGCTGCGCACATAACAGCTGCTGAAGTTCCCAGCGGATATGCATGTTCTCCACATACCCAGCCCATCAGAGCTGGATCACATCAAATACTGTTCAGTCTATCCAGGGTTAGTTAGCAAACAAACCCTTCTCGTTACTTAAAAGTTTGCTAAGTCACTGAGATAAGGGTGATGAAATTGTTGCTAAATACAAAACCAGGTGGCTTGTAAATGTGTGCTCCTGAAGGTGGGCTATGACTGCTATTTTCATATTTTCCGAAGGTTGTTGCTGTGCTGGTACCTCTTACCCCTACCCTACTGTTTTCAAATGGCAGGCTGTGACTCATTAGTGGTGAAATCAATGTATATGATGTCACAGTAGACGTTTACATTAATTGACATGCACAGGAGAGAACAGAAAACAGAGACTGTCACATTAGTATGATAAAGTATTAGGTTGTCGGGAAAGTCATGATGCATTTTTGCATAGGAAAACATAGAAAAATACATCGTGACTCTCCTGACAACCTGATAGTCTGTGACACTTCTGCTTCGGTTACATATACTGTAGTACAGTGTACTGGTTAGGATAACAAATACATTTCTACTGTGGGTTTCTGTCCAAAAAAGTTTAAAAAAAAAATGCTGCCTGGAGCTCCTTGCAGCCATGTGTATTTTTATGATCGGTTTCCCTACTTCATGACCTTTGGATGGCCAATGCCTTCAATTTTAAAACTAATGAACTACTGAAATACTTTATTTTAAACTTTCTCACCCAGCACAGGGTAACTTTAACACTCCATCTGAAATGATCTGACTGTGTGATTGGGCCTCCAAGTACAGTATTTCTTCTTGAAAAGTTCTTGGTCTTCCGATGAATTCTGCTAAATATAAAATCACTCTTGTCTACCACTTACCCTTCTATTTCTAACTCTGACTAGGAACCAGAGATCACAGTAACCAACACTGAAACTTGTCACGCAGCACTCACTGCTAGTGTGAACCCACAGAAGTACTGAAGGGACTTCAAAGAGTCTGTGGGGAAAATGAAATTTAAGGATGTGTTTATATTGGCACAAAAAAACCTGAAATCTGTGCATAGCGTTTTCATAATATGTGTTTCCCATGAACTTTTTTTTTATTATCATCATAATCTTCTTTATATGACATTGGATTACATATAACTTTACAGTGTATTACATTGCTTTTTCAAAAGGGAGTGCCATGCATGTCAGTCAATACAGAGACATTAATCTCCCCGCTTCAACATTCAATATCTTTTCTATGTTTTCCCCAATCAGTATTATTATTATTCTAATTATTTTTTTAAAACAGTCAATCGCTATTTCTCATTTTGCTTGTAAAAATACTTTGCCCTTCGTGATCCCATGAACTTTTTGAAGATCCTGTATATTTACTTCAAATGTGTTTTTTTTTCATGTTAATAATATGCCTTCTATCATGTTTTTGGGGCAAGATTTCCAATAATGATTTTACCTTCAAATGCAAAAAAAATATTCTAACATCATGAGATTTGAAAAGATTCGCATAGAAGGAACATTTTTAAAAACAAAGCATGATAATAAGCTATGCATGTTCATTGTTTGAGACTGACTTTAAAATTTCAAGAACTGACAGGGTCTAGACAGCTAAAATCCCAGCTCTTCCATGTTCTGTTTACAAAAACTTAATACAGAAGGAAAAAATAAATATGTTATACCTTCACTGTCCTTGAATTTCTTGATCGCCACAATTTCATGTGTTTCCTGCAAAGGAAAAGAGGCAGAAGGAAAGTCATTCTTCAGTGTTTTACCAGCTAGGGATCTCAAGTGCCTGGAGGGTATATTCCAGGGCAGAGTAGCAAGAACCCAGATAGTACAAAATATATCCTTCTCCTCCCTAGCCCTGTATTTCTTGGTTCCAAAATTCTCTTCGCTACCCCACAGACATGGTCAGGACAGGAAGAGGAAAGGGAAGAGGGAGGGGAGTAAAGCACAGTGATGGTGGTATTAAGTGCAAGAATCATAAATCAGAAGTACCAATGTCTTGAGGCTACTTCCAAAGTGCCCAGGTGAGCAGTACAGCGCGCACACCACTGTAATGCCCCTGAAACCCAGAGGCACATTCAATTTGGGCTTCTAAGACCAAAAAAGGGCCTTTATAATACCTAGAAGCTGCTGGTAGCAGGCCTGTTCCAAGTGACCTCCCTTCATCCCCCTTTTCCTAACAAACATATCTAGTTATTCAGCAGCTCTTCTCAATGAATGGTCATTGCAAACCCCACTGGAGAAAACATTCCATCACCACATACTGATCATCGCCTTCCCTCTGCCTTTACATATCTCTTCAGAACAGTTCTGTGAACAGAACTTACTTTAAAACTTTTTTTTTTTGGTCCAGGGAGAAGAAAACAAGGGTTTGAAAGGAAATGGTAATACTAAGAACAAAATATCACTAGGCTAAATAATTTGGGTCTAATTGTGGTGCATGAAAGGAATAAAAAAAAAAAAGCTTTGGATAAAATAATTAATATAGAGTCTTCAAAGGCAACATATCAGATAGAAAGCCTTCTGAATGACTCAAGGTCTGCTCTTTTTTTTACCCAAAGTGGGTCTACTTTCAGATCAAATCTTTTAATAAAACACTGTCCCTGAATCAAAACAAAGACTTTAAAACTGGACAGAATGCCAGGATATAACCAATAAGGTACAAACCATTAACTTAGTAAGAGCATATGCTTTTCTCCTAAGTCCTTTTCAAGAGCAAGGACAATCAGGAGGAGAGAAGGGAGGGAGGGAAGAGACCATTTTTAATCATTATGCTGAAAGACAAGCTCTGAGTCCTAACTAGTACATCAAATCCTTTCAGTTTCCCATCTGTCCATTGATAATGAAAATAATCAGCATTTATTTCTACGCTACAGAAAAAAAAATCTGAAAGGGCTATAAGCTAGTGAGGAAAAAGATACTTCTCATGGGTATTTCATGTTGCTTTTAATGGAGGAATAGATAAAACTTTGAGGTACAGAAGACTTTCAAGATACAACTTATTTCTGTATTAGTGAATCTTCTGACTCAAAGAAACTCAGTCTTCTGAGCACTTTCTGATATTTAACTGCTTTATTTATTTATTGTTTTTAAATTTTGTTACAGGGCATGTACACTTGCCCGAGAGAGAGGGAAAGTGAGAAAGCATCCCCCTGGGGTGGGAGAGATGGCCGTGTTGCAATCCCTTCTCCTCCATTCACCTCTCAGGATTTTGGGCACATGCATACACGTGCCTGATGTGCTTTTCAAGCTACCGGGTCTGGACTTGAACCACTCAGTTGGTTATGTGAGACTTAGCCGTCTTAGCCACCACACCAATCAGCTGGCCCTAACTGCTGTATTAATTCAGAAGGAATCAATGCCAACTCTAAGTGATGTGGGAGATTACCAGCATAGGTTAGTACAAGGGTGAGTGAGTGGGTGATTGTCAACAAGCTACTCTCTCCTAATACAATTGATATCCTTTTCTTACTTGGCTCTTCAAATGGCTCTAGCCAGCAATCTATCTACAGCATTACTGAAAGAACAAACCCCATTGGGAAACTTCTCCTGCTTTTTGCTCGCAGCACAAAGTAAGAAATACGCTTCTGGAAAGAGAAAAACTGTTCACCTCTCAAATGAACATCTATCCAAGTAATGTCCTATCTTATTTTTCCACTCTAACTGGAAGAATCCCACATACATTTAAACATTGCACCCTAAATGTTAAAACTTTGCCTGATTTGTTTGATATCTGTTGATCATAATGTGTATGGTATCTTCAACTGGACTTCGGTGAAGTGTATTCATGTTGGGTAAATTCACTTTATAAGCTGTGATGTATAGTGATTAAATGTGTAAAATAAATTTAAAAATTTTAAATGTATTATTTTTAAAAAAAAGAAATATAAGAAAAAAAAACTTTGCCTGATTTTGTAAAAGATCTATATGACTGCAAATTTACATTTAGTGACTATCACTCTTACATAATTTTGAAGAAACTCATTAGCTTCACCACCGCCACCCAGTGTCTCATAAACAGAATTTACTATATAAAACAGGTAACTAAAGGGAGTTGAGTAAAATGAAATGTTATTATTTTATTTACCCTTCACCAATATCAGGGAAAACCACTTTCCTCTTACCTTGCTCTTCTAGTAAGGCTTAAAAGGAAGCCAAATAGACAAAAATTTCCTCTATAAAATCAATTTAATGTTGATTGAAAGCACATGCAATTAACAGGAGATACTAGAAAGAATTTAACATTTCACTTTATTCTCAAATTGCTTATAATAGTACAAGCTCATTACAAAATACATATATTCCCCCCCCCCATAGGGCACATGTGCTCACCAGAGACAGAGAAAGGGAAGTGAGAAATCACCCCCAGGGGGATGACCATGCCACAATCCCTTCTCTTCCATTCTCCTCTCAGGATTTTGGGCATGCATGAACACATGCCTGGAGTGATTTTTCAAGCCATCAGGTCCTGGACCATGTGGGAATCCAGTGCCTTAACTACCATGCCACTTGCTGGCCCATAAAATTAAAAAAAATAAAATAAAAAAATATCCAGAGTTAGCCCTACAGCACAGCAGTTAAGGGAGCCAGATTCCACATGGCTAACCATTGTTCAAGTTCTGGCTCTAGCAGCTTAAAAAATAAAAAGCAAAAAACAAACAACAACAACAAAAGACACTACCACCAGGCTCATGTGCTTGCATGCCCCAAATCCTGATGGAATAGAGAAATGGAGGAAAAGAAAAGCGGTGTAACCATGCCCCACTTGTGGTGGTTGGGGAGGAGTACTCTCTCATGCATTCTGCTGAGTGTGTGTGCCTTCTGGTTATGAACACACACACACACACCTTGCTAACATTTTGATATATTTCCTGTAGTAAATTTTTCTCAAATTGGAATAGTGATATTATATATCCTGTTGTATGCTGGTTTTTTTTTCACTTAATATTAGATAAGCAACATTTTAACCTGTCTTAAAATAATTTCAGAAACCACCGTTTTTAATGGATGGTTATTTAACCAGTCTATCAGTGAACATACATCACATCTGCATACTTATTTCTATAGAGTAAATTCTGTAAGTGGTATAATTGATTCAAAGGACACAGATATTAAAGGCTCCTAAAACATACTCCCAAATTGACACCCAAAGCGTATCATGTCACAGTCTCTTAAGCAGTGTATTGGAATACCCACTCTCAACCACCACCAAAACAAAAAATAATCATTCAAACAAAAAATCTTTGGAATTCATACAGATTAAAGAAATCTTCTTCTTTGAACTGACAAGTAAAATGAGGAGTACTAGAGTTCATATTTTTCTTACCGATTCATGGGCAAATTCTATTACAAATATTCTCCCTAGATTGTTGTGATTGACTATTTAGGGTTTAGATGTCATTGTTATTGAATTCAACTTTTTACTACATAGTCACATTTACTAATACAGGTCTGTTTTTTGTTTGTTTGTTTGTTTGTTTGTTTTTTGCTATAGTGCATGTGCGCTTACCAGACAGACAGAGAGAGACAGAGAGACAGAAAGCGAGAAATCAACCCCCAGGGGGGATGGCCATGCCGCAATCCCTTCTCCTCCATTCTTCTCTTGGGATCTTGGGCACGTATACACACACGCCTGGCATGAGTTTTAAGCCACCGGGTCCAGGACGCAAATCATGGTCAACTACATGGGAGTCCAGCGACATAGCCATTATGCCAACTGCTGGTCCCCAATACAGGTCTTCTTGCTGTTGTTGAATTTAACTTATTACACAGTCCCACTTATGATATAGCCTTTGTAATTATGTCCACTGCTTTAGAGCTCAGAGTCCTTACTTGGCCTGAGCATGGCTAATAATCATCCAAATGTATGCATCTTGATGTTATCATTTCTTTCCTGAAATCTTTATTCATTTGTAATTTAATATATGGCACAGTGAGGAACCTTAGATTTAATATAATTTTCAAAGATTGAATCAATTTTCCTAACACCCTTCACTGTGGATTTGCAGTTCTTTGTTATAAAATCACGTCCTCACACATATATTCTACATTTGCTCTCAGAGCTTTCTAGTTCACTCTTCTTGTGCCAGAACCAGTTTAAATGATTATGACCTTAACTGTTATAAATTAATGTGGATTATTTTGGGTCATGGGAAAAGTCATGATGCATTGTTGCATAGGAAAATATGTCACGCGTTTTCTGATGACCCAGTAGATAGATCCTCTTTCTCCTAATACCATTCTGTTATGTAAATTTATTCTTGGGAGTAAGTTGTTAAATTTAATTTGTAATTACATACACATGAGCTGTTGTATTTCACGTATATTTCTTTACATGTTCAATTGGCCTGTTACCACCAGTCCTTTTTCTCCTAGGGTTTTCACAAATTTAGTTCTTGATTTGCATACAATTTTTTGCTCAGCCAGAGTACATCTTTGAATGGTTTTCTGAGCAAGTACCCTGTTTTCCAAATCTTTGCAGATCTGGACATCCTCACACTCATGACAACGTGGCGGGCACAGACATCTTGAGAAAGCAGCCTCCCTGTTCTTCAGGGGCCCTGAATGCCTGTGTATATGGCAAAGCCCTGGAAAATGCCAATCACATCACAGACAGGTATCGCAGATCCATATGCTTCTTAAAGCAACTTTAAAGCAGATGGGAGTAAAGTGTCTTGCTGCAACAAAATCCATATATCAAGATATTTTCCCAAGAAGAA